ATCTTTATACTCAAACCCCAACACTCCCCTACACCTGCCCACTTCTTTCTCCTTAAGACACACGTAACCATTTGCAGGATTCAGGCCTTTAAACACATTTTGTTTCCCCCCTCATGTTTTCATTCTTGGAATCTTTACCCTGTAAGCTTTGTATCAGAGATTTCTTCACATACAGCAAAAATTCAGGTTCAGAAAAGATGTAGCTGTGAAAGAAACTACAGATGATGGCTTTTTTTTATCTCTAGGGTTATTGCTTTTTTTATGTAATAAGTCAGAAGAAAATATAGCAAACTCTCCTTTCAAACACAGACAATAAGGTGCTAATTTCTGCACAGCACCTGCCTGCTCTTCACTAGTCACACTGTTCGATCCATCACTCTGAAGCAGCCCTTGCAAACTGTCACTGCTGGGTTATGAATTAAGCTCTCTGTGATTTAGGATTGGCAGCAGCTATTTCCAGTGATCTTGAAGACCTGCAACAACAAATTTGAAGTGTCTGGCAGGTATTCAGGGAAAGAACCCCACCCACTGGAGGGGAAAAAGTAGATCTTAAAACCTGCACAACTCAAAAGCTTTGAAGAGTATCCAGGGAAAAGCATCAGGAATCACCTTGGTAAGTGTCTTAAAAAAAACTAGTGTCTTTCCCTCTAGTAAAATTATCCCCCTACCTGCGCATTTCCTCAAACCTTGCTGTGCTTTAACAGACCAGGATGCCATTCGGAAGAGGCCCCCCTTTTCCCAGAGTTTTGTACCTGGAGGTCTGCTCACAGTGCATGCCCTAGCCCCAGCCGGAGAGCTCTTATCTGAAGCACAGCTTGAGTGTAATATGTGAGGAGTTCTATGCTGCTCCCAGATCCTGCCCTTGAAGAGAGGAGTTTATTTATAAACAGAGACAGGGTGATTAAGACAACAAAAAGCTTGTCATTATATTAAATTAAGGATTATTAGATGATCCTGAAAGCTTTGCTAAAAGATAAGAAACAAAGGGTAGGAATAAATGGTCAGTTTTCAGAATGGAGAGAGGTAAATAGTGGTGTCCCTCAGGAGTCTGTACTGGGACCAGTGCTGTTCAACATATTCATAAATGATCTGGAAAAAGGGGTAGACAGTGATGTGGTAAATTTTGCAGGTGATAGAAAATTACTCAAGATTGCAGTCAGTTTTGGACTTAACTAAGTGTTACAAAGGGATCTCAACAAAACTGGGTGACCGGGCAACAAAATTACAGATGAAATTCAATGTTGGTAGATGCAAAATAATGCACGTGGCAAAATATAATCCCAACTATACATACAAAATGATGGGGTCTAAATTAGCTGTTACCCATCAAGAAAGATCTTGAAGTCATTGTAGATAGTTCTCTGAAAACATCTACTCAATGTAGAGTGAAAATCAAAAGAGCTAACAGAATACTGGGAATCATTAAGAAAGGTACTTATAATAAGACAGAAAATATCATAATGCTTCTATACAAATCCTTGGTACTCCCACATCTCGAATATTGTGTGTGCAGATCTGGTCATCCCATCTCAAAAAAAGATATATTAGAATTGGAAAAGGTTCAGAAAAGGGCAAGAAAAATGATTTAGGGGTATGGAACAGCTTCCATATGAGGAGAGATTAAAAAGACTGGGACTTTTCAGCTTGGAAAAGAGGTGACTAAGAAGGGTTATGATAGAGGTCTATAAAATCATGAATGGTGTGGAAAAATTGAATAAGGAAATGTTATTTACTCCTTCACATAACACAAGAACTAGGCATCACCCAATGAAATTAATAGGCAGCAGATTTAAAAACAAACAAAAAGGAAGTATTTCTTCACAGTCAACCTGTGGAACTCTGCCAGGGGATGTTGTGAATGCCAAAACTATAAGAGTTCAAAAGAGAACTGTTCCACGGCGTGCAGGAGACACTGGGAGGGAGGGGGAGGAGTGGAGTCGGGGCACACTTGGGGGAGGGGGTGGAATCATGTCTGGAATCATGTGTGCAGAAGGTGCTGGGAGGGAGGGGGAGGAGCGGGGATGGGGTGCTCTCAGGGGAAGAGGAGGAAAAAGGCAGGGAAGAGGAGGGGAAGAGGTGGATTGGGGGTGGGACGTAGGGCTTTGGGGGAAAGGGTGGAGTGGGGGCAGGTTGAGCTGCTGAGGTTGAGCAGGGTACTTGTGGTTGGGGGGGTCTGCAAAAATTTTAAAACAAAAATGGGGTCCTTGGGTTATTAAAGTTTGAGAACTTCTGGTTTAAAGGTATTTCTGACTGGCTAAATGAAAGATTTTCATTAAAAATAACTTATCTCTGGTTCTATCATGGTCTTGGTAGGGATTTTTTTATATCCTCCAAATTTTACTACTTCTGATTAGCTGGCAAGTACACTAGGGGATGAATATCAGGTACTGTACTTTTTTTCCTTTACTTGGCTTATCCCTCAGCAGAAAGAACATACTTTGCACCACTTTCTTAACTTGTGATGTTTTGGGAGCAGTTACATTGATTTACAAGCAATGCATACTGCTAAGGGACAGCACCAGGGAAGGAGTATTTTTTGCCTTCCCAGATAGAGAAACAGAACGTTCTCTCATTGGTTTCCCCACAGTGGTCATTCAAACAGCAGTGCAAACGTTACACTGTTCCCAGTGTATTAGCAATTCAACTCCTCATTAGCAGAGAGAGTCTACACCTAAACCATGTCTCCCACACAAAATGTCCTCCTGCATTGAATATTAGAAATTAAGCATGGAAAAGGCATAGAAGAGGATCTTGTTCATCCTTCTGCCAGGGCATAATTATCATCTTCACTATGGCCCCAAGCCAACAAAGCACTTATGAATGGACATAACTTAAGCATGTTAATAGCACTATGGCAACTAAGTATCCTCCAAGAGTGCTGCCTTTTCAGCACTGAAGCTAATAGGACTACTCCCATGCCGAAAGTTACACACACACTTCAACGTTTTGCAGGATTGAAGACTATATTGTTGACGGTTTACTTCACAATTCTTTGAAATAGACTAGAAGTGAGAAGAACTTTTTCAATTAGGGATAAGTTAGGAAACAAAAAGATTTAGCTGTTTCCCCCCTTTGTTGTACTTCTATCTATAGAGCAAATAGAAGGTAATTAGTAAAGACTCTAAATGTGGCACCAGAATGACAAACCCCATCCATAATATTGCACACACATTTAAAGTAGTCTTATTACCACCAATTTCATTCAGGATACTGTACAGACACAGAGACAGACCCTTTCCTAAATTGTTTACAATTAAGGCTGCGATTCTGTTACAGAAGTCGCAGATTCCATGATGTTCCACTACTTCCGCAGCTGCAATGGCCGGTGCAGCTGATCCCAGGGCCAACTGCTTGGGCGCCCCCAGGCCAGTCGCATCAGCTGCTGCTCGGGCAGAAAAAGGGTGGGAGAAAGCAAGCATTATCATCTCTGTTTTACAGATGGAGAACTAAAACAGAGATTATTAAGAGATGTGCCTGAGATCACACAGGGAATCTGGGGCAAAGCCAAGATCTGAACCCAGATCTCCAAAGGCCTTAGAGAGTCCCTTAAGCACAAGACCATTCTTTCTCCCTACATTCTTTTTAATGCAAAGTTCACAGAACAGAACTGTTGCATAAATCCTGGATAATATGATTCATACAATATACTGCAAGCAACAGGTTAAAGAAAATCACTGAATAGCCCAAACTCCCATATGGAAAGACCATCCCCAGTGGTTCAGATGCGTATAACCTCTGTAAAGCAATGAAGCCATTTGGAGTTTGCTTTCTTGTTGTGACAATTCCTTCAATCTCACTTTTTATGTGTAAATTATGAGCAGCAAAGTCTATTGAACACAAAGAAGATTTACATTTCTTTCTTGATATGCAACAGTGACACCACATGGAAGGAAAATAAAGGTAGGATGAAATTAACTCTGTATGACTCAAACTTGTATTTGAGAAAAGGAGTACTTGTGGCACCTTAGAGACTAACAAATTTATTAAAGCATAATAAAGCTGTAGCTCACGAAAGCTTATGCTCTAATAAATTGGTTAGTCGCTAAGGTGCCACAAGTACTCCTTTTCTTTTTGCGAATACAGACTAACATGGCTGCTACTCTGAAACCTCGTATTTGAGAGTTGATTTTCTACCTAAATACCAACTTTGTAGATAAAAGAAAGAGGGATTATTGATTTGTGGATTTTTTTATTTTAAAAAGATGGATCATTGGCTAAAGTTTAAAAATAAGAACTGCAGTGTAGGAGGCTAAAAAGCTAATGTCTTTCATTGTTACTTTTCTCCTTTTATTAAAGGATAATTAGGCTAACTAATAATTAGGCTAGGCTGACTGAATCTTTTGTTCCATCCTTGACATATTCTGACTGACCTAAAGCCAGGATAATCAGTACTTGTCTACACTCACAGCACTGCAGCTCCACCACTGTAGTTTACTGAAGACGCTACCTATGCTGATGGGAAAGCTTCTCCCTGAGTGATGTAGTTCTAGGGACATAAGTTTGTAGTGTGGAGGACGGCTCAGACTAGCAACTAAAGAGCAGAATCCTGGAATTGTTATGCACCCAATTTAAACACTGTGACATCCCCTGCTGTTCAGTTTTTCTTTATCACTCCCACTTTGCCACAGCTACTGGCCCTGCCCATCCTGACTTCAGAATATCTAGAGGGACAGGGTGGGCTGCATCAGGTACTTTCCTACAGCAGCCTCTGACACAGCTTGTGCTGGACTTGCTCAGAGGGATGAATTTTACCCCCAACTCCACTTGTAGAGTTAAGTATAGCAAGTCTATAAACACTGCTGTGATGTTACATCCCATAGTCTTCATAGAAATATGGTTAGGATATGAATATGGCATAACTAACATATACTTAATGGAAGATGGCTCACATAAGGTATCATTGAAAACATTATGATCTACCAAATGTGTTTATCCAATTTGTATGCATGTATCATTTTTGTACTGAAGCTAGGAATATTGACCGTGAATCTTTATTTCAGATGTGCTGCTTTGGGTGACACCTGCAACTAGTCCTCAGGTACAACAATGAAAAAGTCAGACAGACATTGAAGATGTGATACAGTGCTGCAGGCCCTTTACCTCAGACATTGGTCCATCAGCAGAGACAAGGAAATGTGAAAGAGCCTAGTCTTCCTGTGGATGCTCCAGACAGCCTGCGAGTAATGGCTGCTACGACCCTGCAGAGACTTGTGACTGAGTCATCTGGTGCTGGATCCCACCTTGGAATGCCAATGTTTTTCCACCATACACAAAAGCTATGGAAGGCAGGGGAGTGACATCATCATGGTTCTCCTCTGCTTCCCCACCAAAAGAGACACAGGGAAACACCTGAAAACAAGAACTGGGGGGAGAATGAGCCCAGGCTATAAGGGTGTCCAGCCTGTGAATGAAAATACCTGAAGTTTCAAGCTGCAGGCCAGTACAGTTGGCTTTCAAGAATCTCTGTAATCTGCCTGAGACAACATTTAGGGTGAGAAATTACTATTTGTAGCCAATTTCTTCAGTGTATTAAGTTTAGTCTGCGTGTTTTGTTTCATTTGCTCAGAAATTTGCTTGGTTCTGTTTGTTATCTCTTATAATCACTTAAAGTCTACCCTTTCTAGTTAATAAAATTGTTTTTGTTTATTCTGAAACCCAGTTTGTGCAATTCATAATGGGGGGGGGGAGGGGAAGAGGCTGTGCATACATTCTTCCACATTGAGAGAGGGGGAGGATTTCACAATATACCTTTGGGTCTGTACTCCAAGGGAGTTGGCACCTGAGTGCTGGGGCACCTTAAGCGGAGATCACAGAGCTGGATCATAGAGCTGATCTCAGTGTCGGTGTCTTTCTGCAGTTGGGTGTGGCCCTGCCTTTGTGCGAGCTAGTGGAGGTTTAAGAGCCTGGATCAGCAAGACAGGGTAAAAGGGGGCACATGCTAGCAGAACAGGCAGGTACAGTGGTATCCTAGTACATCAGGTGACACCGTAAAAGGGGGCAACCCGTTACAAGTGCCTCTGTTAAAAGTTATTTGTTTTGTTTTTGAAGTAAACAAGACCATTATGGGCAATGCTTTAATGCAATATGAAGGTTGAAAAAAAGAAAAGGAGTACTTGTGGCACCTTAGAGACTAACCAATTTATTTGAGCATGAGCTTTCGTGAGCTACAGCTCACTTCATCAGATGTAGCTCACGAAAGCTCATGCTCAAATAAATTGGTTAGTCTCTAAGGTGCCACAAGTACTCCTTTTCTTTTTGGCGAATACAGACTAACACGGCTGTTCCTCTGAAACCTGTCATGAAGGTTGAAGTTTTCCTCACACAAGTCAGAGCACTCAGTGCTGTGGTTCTTCTGAAACCTAATCTTTGTCCTCTGCATGCATGCCAAACAACAGGGATTTTCACTCTGGGCTCCCTTGTGAGCCCTGCGGCATGCCTGTGCAGGGGAGTAGGGAGGTCTCATGTGGGTGGCTGCATCATAGGAGCCTGGCCAGGACTGCTACTCCTCTCCCACACACAGGTGGGCAGGCAAGAATAAACTCTTGACTTCATGGGCTTATACACCTGAGTCTGAGTAGAAGAGGGAAATTGTGATTTGGCTCAGAAAGAAAGCAGGAACTGGACAGTTGCAATCTGGTTCTGTTTGGCTGCTGGTCCAGTGCAACAGGTACAATGCCACCTTACTCAGGGTGGAATGCAAGGTTCTATGACCACACACCCAATTGCACAATATCACACACTGACTTCCTGTGACTAAAAGATAAGCACCAGTACAGAACACTAAAGCTTATTTGCATTTCATGATTAGCACAATTATAAAAGGCACAGTTCAGTATTATGACCTTCAAATGCTAACCTGATATCATGGCTGGAGTAAAACTCCTATCATTCCATACAGTGGCCAGCCTAAATGTGAAATGATTCATGATTTCAAGTTTGCTGAACTCTGCTAAATTACAAGCAGATAATTTGATTTCCTCAAAAATTGCTGAAAATATCCCTTTGAACCAGGTCCACTTGCACATCAGTGCTGTGGTCTTTCCTAAAGTAATTTCATTTTGGATATAGGTAATACATCATATTCATTTTCTATTAGGGCTTGGCCACACAGAGATGTAGTGCAGGACAAGCCAGGGTACAGCTGTACAATAGATTAGCCTGCCACACACACTAAGGCACCGTGCAGATCTTGCCGTCACGCACTAAAAAGTTCCACAGAGCACTTTGACTTACTGTTGTTTGACAAGGCCTCAGATTCAGCATTCATTATCCTGCCAGGTGGAACCAAAATATGGTTTGAGGCAATATATAGTCATTTATATGTTGTAAGTGGGTTACCCATGTGCACCTCCGAGTGATAAGACAGTGCTGCAGGCCCTCTACCTCAGTTTCCCTAACCAGCATTTCCCACTTACTCTGGTGTTCTATATCAGTGGGTCTCAACCAGGGGTACACAGAGATCTTCCAGGGGGAACTTCAATTCATCTAGATATTTGCCTAGTTTTACAACAGGCTACATAAAAAGCACTAGCAAAGTCAGTACAAACTAAAAGTTCATACAGACAATGACGTGTCTGCTCTATACACTATACACTGAATACTATATACTATACACTTAAACGTAAGTACAATATTTATATTCCAATGATTTATTTTATAATTATATGGTCAAAATGAGAAAGTATGCAATTTTCCAGTAATAGTGTGCTGTGACACTTTTGTATTTTTATGTCTGATTTTATAAGCAAGTAGTTTTTACATGAGGTGAATCTTGGGGGTACACAAGACAAATCAGACTCCTGAAAGGTGAACAGTAGTCTGGAAAGGTTGAGAGCCATTGTTCTATATGGCTTGGTCCGCCAGGTGCATCACTAAGGAAGTTCAATCCCTTCAGGGTAGCAGAGTCCAAAGTTACAGTCCAGACAAACAAAACAGAGAAGTCTTTGTTCTAGCTTGGTTTAGTTCTCAGCCTCTTTAAGATTAGCCATCCATCCACAACCAAGGCTTAGCTCTGTCACTCCCCTGCTCCTGCAGGTGAGACACCCCACTGCTAGAGCATGGCTTAAGAAACCTTCCTCAGGTCCCCAAGTACCTCTAAATATTTCCCTGTCAGAGGCAATTTCCTTCAAAGAGGCTCAGTCAGGCATCAGTTCTAGTTCATCTCCAGATTCCTGCTGATGTCTCTCCCCAGTGAGGGCTGTTGATCTGTGTTCCTCGGAGCTGAGTGGGCTTTTCCTGTTTTAGTCCCTCCCTTCTGGCCTTACACTCCACATGCTCAATTGATTGGGCTCACAGCAGCACATTAACCCTTCTGGGTCCATATAGGGTTTGTAAAGCCTACCACAGACACGTCTTTATAGGAACTACAAGAATAATGAGAATATGAATGTTGTATAAGAAAATATTTTAATCTTAGTAGCTGTTGGCTAGCCTGAACTTTTGATATATTTTAAGGGATTGTCAGAGAACTGCACTGAGAGAAGGCTATTAAAATGCCACCAATACTTTTGTTGCATGCAGTGTCGTTGTCGCTGTGTCGATCCCAGGATATTAGAGGGAGAAGGTGGGTGAGGTAATATCTTTTATTGGACCAACCTCTCTTGCTGAGAGAGACAAGCTTTTGAGATTACATAGAGCTGACCTTAAGAAGAGCTTTTCAGCTCTGTGTAGCTCAAAAGTTTGTCTCTCTCACCAACAGAAGTCGGTCCAATAAAATATATTACCTCACCCACCTTGTCGCACCAATACTTTCAGCATTAACCCTTAAGGACTGCTGGGAGAGACAGAAAAATAAGAAGAGGGGGGGCTGAGTTTGGAGATGAAATTGAAGGGCATGAGACAACAGGAAAGTATGGAGTAGGCTGATGCAGGAAGAATGGCAGAAACTACTCGGGCTCCCACTACCCACCCACAAAACCCTCTCAGGACACAGTGTTTGTGCTCTCTTTTTCCTTCCTGATAGTTATTCCTTGAGCTAAGGGGTAGAGGTCTGTGCCGTGAAACTGAAGATTCCTGGTTTGAGTTTTGCTGATTACTTACCCATCTAGGAAAAAATAACATGGATGTGAAAATTAAAGATTGTATCCTAAAGCATATGGGGGGGGGGGCAGCATTAAGGGTTACATGGACAACTTTAACTCTGGCACTTCTTAACTTTGAGCATTTAAGTTTGCAACCTTAACATTCTTCAGGGCTTTTTACCGTGTGTAATATATATGAGACCATCTGTTAGCACTTGTGGGGGAACCGGATCTCTCTCAGGACATTGTATGGACTCAGAGCCTCTCACCTGTTGTTCACCACTTTGAGTCCAGCCCAGATCAGAAAGCACTGAAAGTTGTTTTTGACTCATGCTGGCTCCAGTACGAGATGAGTTTGGTGTGTTTTAGTTCTAGCTCCCAAATCATAAACTCACCACCATACTTAGCACTGATGGGCAGACTCACTACCACTCACTGTGCAGACATACCCTCCGAGTCTCAGAGCCCAAGTTGACAGGTGGAATTGCACTTATGCTACAGCACTGAAAATAGCTATGTGGACTCCACTGAGGCTGGAGTTCGGGGATCTGCAACATCTTCCTGAAAGAGGAGGAGATAAGGAAACAGATACTTCACTGACAGCTAAAGGACAAAGCACTGAGAAAACTACAAGGGATCCTTCAGATCACCACACAGAGCAGTCCGCTGATTCAGCTAATGCAAGGACTGTACCATAGATCTAATAGACTGTATAGAGCACCTGAAAGACTCATTGAGCCCTGCTAACAAAGTTGAGTATGTTATGGTACCTGGCAGAAACCACTGGTATATATGTTAAATGGTTTGCGGTTGCTTTTACTGGAAAGGGGAGATGTTAAGAGTATGTACTGTGCCTTTAAGGGCAGAGCACAGGCTAAGAGGGAACTGGATTTGGGACTAGGGAGAATCACTTGGAAGCAGTTTAGTGGCAGTATCACCAGACACACAGCTAGGAGCTCATGGCTCCCGTTAGTCTTGTGTAACTGTTTTAGTTCTAATAATACCTTACTTCATAATGCCTGGACTCTTTCTCCTTCTTATAAATTCACAAGACAACCCAGGCCTGGCCACCCCAAATACAGGGAGAGTCACAAAGGTAAAGGGGAATATTCCCCACCACCCAGGAACTGAGCTGTACTGCCCCAGAAGACATTGCCACCACCATCTCCTGGGCACACAGCCTCTGTGTACTGACTACTGCATGGCTTTGTGGGCTGCGGCTTACTCCCCCCGTGCATAGTGGGAAACCCATAGCCTGTCTCTCACCCCAATTGCTTTACATACCCCAGAACACAGACACTACAGTTCTGGCTGGCTTTTTCATGGGCTACAGGAGGACAGGGGAATGGTCCTTATTAACTTCCTCTGTTGGGCACCTGTACAAAATCTGGCCCTTGTTCTGTGCATGCCTTCTAATAAGAGCCATTTTAAAAGTGACCTGTCAACAAGCAGAGTCACTGCTAGCATGCTCCTTTGTGATTGGGCATGGTGCAACAGGTTCTAGTTCTCTAGCACCCCACCAACAGCTGCTCTGGCACTGCAATGATCGGGCTCACCTTGCAACTTGGCCCTCCGGTAGGTCACCTTTA